GGACTCACCTCAGCGCCCCAAACAAGGTCGCCCACGGCGCCCGCCGGAGCCCATAACGCATGCGCAGGAAAGTCTGCGGACTACAATCCCCAGAAGCCCCTGCGCCGCAGCAGCCAGGAGGCCCGTGCCCCTGGTGGGGTCACCCGCACGCCAGTCATTTACCTAAAACGAAAATGACAACAATCGCAAGAGTGGTAAAATAACAGTGAAATGCTAGCAATAATGAAAACAAATCACTCTCCCCCCGTGATAATAAAGGAGAGGCAAGATTCTCTTACCACCTGGAAATGAGCACTTGTTCCCATTTTAGTGAAAATCCTTTACAGGTTCTTAACTCTGCAGACATACCCTTTAATTTTATAAACACGCAATTTTTCAATTAAAATGTATTTAAATACCCTTTTCACGGCTTGTTTCCATTGAAGGGGACTCTGGAAGATCTTCCACACTTCAGAGCTGACACAGTCCTGTGATAGGTTTCTCCTCTGAAGCAGAAAGAACTAACAACCAGTGCCTTCTGTTTTTAATCAGGGGATAGCACGAGTCTGGGTGGGTGGTGGGTGGAGGTCTTATAAGAGGTCTATTTCTACAAATCACGAAGACACGGGAAGTTTTCAGATTCCCTTTGAGAAGTCTCCGCTCTTGGGACTTACTTTTTGCATTTTAAGATTCCTGTTAGAGAAAGTGTCTTTCTTTTTGTGCCATCATGGGGTAAGAAAATTGTAGGATTTCCCTAGAGGCCCACAATTCTCGCCTGGAGGAAAGCACCAAAACAAAACAAAACAAAACAAAACAAACCCCAAAACAAAACAAAACAAAACAAAACACAAAAACAAAAACAAAAAACGGGTGAGAACACATTCTCTCTTTGCTAGCTCTGGTCCTAGACATGGGAGATAATTGAAGACCCCCATCGCCATGCCTTGGCAGGAGCTGGAGAAATAATATCCAACTATCAACTGGCGTTGCAACTTAGGCACATAAAGAGAACAGCAAAATTCTTTTGGCCTATCCCTGTCTATTGATATCTTGACATTAGTTTCCTCATGATGGAAAAAAAAAGTGCAATCTTCCAGGGCTGGGAGTCATCCTTAATTTTGGCAGATACTAAGTCTTTTTACTGGATAGAGGGGGATGTTTTCTTTAACGTGCTTCAGTAATATCTGCCATAAATACGTCAATTCTCCACGTTTGCATTAATTTATTCTGTAGCCTCTCCTTTTTTTTTTTAACATATATTTTTTAACATTTATTTATTTTTGGGAGACAGAGAGTGAGAGGGGAAGGGGCAGAGAGAGAGAGAGACACAGAATCTGAAGCAGGCTCCAGGCTCTGAGCTGTCAGCAGAGAGCCCAGCGTGGGGCTGGAACTCACGGACCGCGAGATCATGACCTGAGCTGAAGTCGGACGCTCAACTGACTGAGCCACCCAGGCGCCCCTTAGCCTCTCCTTTTTGACCTCTCTCCTACTACATTCTCGATTGCCCACTCTGCTCCAACCACAGCGGGCTTAATGGTTGTATCCCCAGTGCTTGGACCCACAGTGCCTGACACATAGTACCTCTCGATTCATCAAATTTCAGTCAGAAGTAACAATTCAAGAGATAAAGATGATACGCATGTACTCCTGATGGCCAAATTGCATGACACCGTGTTACACCGGGACCCTGGGGTCCAAGGCAACAACAGGCTTAGGTGTTTTCAGTGCTGTGAGCAACACAGCTGGATGCAGGAGATCTCCCAAGTGTGTGAATGTCTGACCTGCTATCCTATCACCTCATCCTAGTGGGTGCTGGTAGATTACCTCACCAAATTGGCATGCTTTCTTCTCCATCTGGTGATGGAATAATACTAGGCTGCGTTTTATACCTGAAATATTTATATTCAGGCTAACGACTGTTCTGAGGAACAGTTACACCTCGTCTGGACCCACAAAAGCTGCTTGGGGATAGGTAGCTTAAATCTCTGACTCTACCTTATAAAATGACCACATGTCAACCTGTTGCTAGGACACAGCCTTACTGTCACAATACACTTCATACTCTATACCAGACTCGCCTCCCCAACCAACCCACTTCCGTTAGAGCCAACTCGTTCAACATCATTCTTGGTATGCTACCGAGCATTCCATCGCTGACTCCACTCTGCAGATGGTGCTCTCACAACTCTCCAAACGCCCTGAAACTTGTATTAACCTTTCTACCATATGACATTCAAAGAATGACAACAGAGTAACACCTCACTTCACTTGCTGCTGCTGATTTTGCACGGAAAGCACCGCGCTTTTACACCCAACGCAAACCAATCCATAGCGGTTACAGCACTGCCCTTGACTCTCTTGTAGCCCTTGCTGCCACTGAAATACCAGCAGCCGATTGGCAGCTGGGTAACCTGTAGGCAACCCAGTGGCATCTCAAGGCCAGCCTCCGGCAGGTAGAATGATCAGGGCACATCTACAAAAGTTGACTGTTGCCACAACCATTCCAACCGTGTGATTCTCCCACGCTTGTTAATAGGTATGGTAGTTTCAAGACACACCCACGAATTCTCTGGTCCTCCTTCCAGGAGGCCTACTGCCCCTTCCCATAAACTAGTGGCTCCGACGGAACAGAAGAAAGCAGAAGTGATGGCGATTTCAGGGTCAAAAAAGGCACTGTGGCTTCTTGCTTGCTCTCTCCCCTCTGCTCACTTGCTCTGAGGGAAGTCTGTTGCCCTGTCATGAGGGCGCTCAGGCAGTCCTGTACAGAAGCCCATGCGGTGAGGATCTTAGACGTTTTTCAACAGCCACTGAGGAACTGAGGCCTCCTGTTCAAGGCTCTTTTGTGCCCAGAGCCATCTTGGAAGCAGATCCTTTAAGCCCTGGTCAGGCATTCAGAAGACTGTAGCTGCAGGCAGCATCTGACAGCCAGTTCCAGAACACTGGGGATGTGCTGCCCAGTTTCAAGAATCTGAGGTCCTCCTTTGGAAAGCCAGTAAGCGAGTTGAACTTTTCGACCACAAACCTTGAAGGTCTGAGGTGTAGGAATGGCGTCTACACTGGCTCTTTGGCTCTAAAACCCACCCCACGATTGGAAGGAATCACCCTGCTGCTGTTCCATAAAATACTGGAGATTTTCTTCAAGCCCCCTTCTCTAAGCTAACCATTGCACTCTGCTCGACTCCCAGACATGCTAACTGTTCGCTTAGATAGAAGGTGCCCCTCGCCCACCTCCCTGACGTTCTTTGTCTAGTAGCCCAGGCAGCAGAGAGGAGCTCAGCCTGGACTGTGCCCCAGGTCTCCAGCCTCCCGGATGAAGAAGTCAGACTCCCGGGAATGCCCTCTGCGAAGCCAGGCTTGGGGGCTCACTGGTCCCAGAGGGTCAGGATGCAGACCGGAGCACCACAGCTCCTCCCGGTTCTCCAGATCACCTCGTTTCTGCCCAAGCCAAAAAAAAATTATGCAGCCTCTGAAAGTATCTAAATCACAAATTTCTCAGTTCATTTGTATACCTTATATTTGGTACTAGGTGCTAAGTAAACAGTAGAAAAAGCCAAAAAAAAAAAAAGAAAAAAAAGTATAGAGGTTGTAACAGGGATCTTTGACCATAAGGCACTGTTCCACCAGACTCATTTTTTTAAAAAATAGCTTTACTATCATTATAAAACTGATATATACTCTTCGTGAAAAAGTAAAATGCATAAAAGTACACGAATGTATTACATCCCCCGCATCCCACTTGCTAGAGATATGCAGTTATCATACTAACCTTTCACACTTTTTTCTTTTCTCTCTCTCTAAACATACACACACAAAAACATACCAACAAAATGGGAGTCATACTAAAATTGTTCCACAACTCTCCTGACTCACAAAATAGTTTGTGGGCAACCTTCAATGCCACTGTAGGCACTGAATAATTTTAGTGGTTTTCGCTCATTTACATGTGCCTTTATTTGTTATACTTGGAGTATTTTTTTTTTTTTCTGCTATAGTAAGAAAACTCTAAGAAACTCAGCTGGAGGCATACATCTTTTCCCACATGTGCAACTATCTCCCAACTATCATTGACTACACCCTCATTGCCACTTCAAAGGTTATACAAATTGGACTCGATACACTGACAAATCCTTTCCAAAAAAAGACTACTTCTTTTCACTCCTACCAGTATATTCACGAGTGCCTATTTCCACAGGTCCCACCGATGGTGGCTTTGGTGACTCTATGTTCTGTTCTGACAAGTTAAAGGGGTATTTCTGGGTTTTTTTTAATGCTCTACTATGTATCTTTAAAAACACGAGGAAACGAAACGAACGGGGCAGAAATATTCGTGACAGCAATAAATTAACCAATAAATTCAATGCAATGCCAGTCGGACTGTGTTTTTAAAACTTGATAAAATGCAATGGTCCTGCCATACAGCACGGCCTGTCTAGGAGAGCGGTGTATCTCTAGGAGATAAAACACATTCACCCCAGCATGATAAAAACATGATGGCGATACATCACTTGGAGATACACCTGCCAAGAGGCAGACTCTCTGTTCCCAGCCTTCTGAAAGTGACTTGCCCTCACCAATGTGAACATCATCTCTCCATTTTTGTAAAAACCATCTTCTAAAAGGTACACACGATGTTGGTTTTAGTAAGGTGACGACTTTCTCCTACATTTGTCCCATGTGTAGGTACTCCCCCCCCCACACACACCCGCCCCCCAGCAAGGAATCCACGTTCACAGTCTGCTCCTCGGACACACTCCTATGTCATTCGTAAAAAGCTCCCTCCTGGGCCGACTCTGATGAGAGCGGCGATTTTTACCGAGGCCGCCGTACTTCAAGGACGGTCCTCTGGGGGACAGACCCTTGGAGAGCAAAGTTTGCGACGCAAGTGCTTTTCTCATCTATCAACCTTCCGGATCGTCCCTTCCTGGGCAGGCCAACTGCTGTGACGGGTCACCCTCCACCGGAGCCCTCCCTGCGCATCCCGTTCGCAAAGCCTTCCTCCTGCGTCGGCGCTCAGACGGGCGTCAAGTTCTGAGTTCTGCCTCAGCGCGTGTCTGTTTCTCCGGTTTCTCGCCAGCGTGCGCTCGCTGATGATTCCGCAGCCCTGAGCTGTAACTGAAGCCCTTCCCGCACTCCCCGCACTTGTAGGGCTTCTCGCCGGTGTGGACCCTCTGGTGGACGTGAAGACAGGAGCTTCGCCCAAAGCCCTTCCCGCACTCCTCGCATCTGTAGGGCTTCTCCCCAGTGTGGACCCTCTGGTGGCCTTGAAGATGTGAGCTCTGACTGTAGCCCTTCCCACACACGTCGCATCTGTAGGGCTTCTCTCCGGTGTGCACCCTCTTGTGACTGAGGAGACCAGAGCCGTACCTGAAGCCCTTGCCACATTCGTAACACGTGTAGGGTTTCTCCCCCGTGTGCAGTCTCTGGTGGGTGCGAAGATTTGAGCCGTAACTGAAGCCCTTGCCACACTGATCACACGTGTACGGCTTCTTCCCCGTGTGGATCCGCTGATGTTTGTAGAGGCTTGACGTGCACCGGAAACCCTTCCCGCACGCTTCGCACTTGTAGGGCTTCTCGCCGGTGTGGACCCTCTGGTGGATGAGGAGCCCCGAGCTGTAACTGAAGCCTTTGCCGCACTCGGCACACTTGTAGGGCTTCTCGCCGGTGTGGGTCCTCTGGTGGATGAGGAGGTCGGAGCTGTAAATGAAGCCCTTCCCACACGCGTCGCACACGAACGGCCTCTCCCCCGTGTGGACCCTCTGGTGACTGTGAAGGTCCGAATTGCGCCGGAAGCCCTTCCCGCACTCGCCGCACTTGTAGGGCTTCTCCCCGGTGTGGACCCTCTGGTGGACGTGGAGGTCCGAGCTTCGGCCGAAGCCCTTCCCGCACTCGCACTTGTAGGGCTTCTCCCCCGTGTGCAGCCTCTGGTGCCGGAGCAGCCCCGAGCTGTAGCTGAAGCTCTTCCCGCACACGTCGCAGTCGAAGAGGCGCTGCCCCGTGTGAACCCGCTGGTGGGCCCGGAGGTACGAGTTGTAGCTGAAACCCTTGTCGCACTGGTCGCACCGGTAGGGCTTCTGCCCCGCGTGCGCCTTCTGGTGGCTGCTCGGGTGGGAGCCGCACGAGAAGCCCTTCCCGCACTCGGCGCCGCAGCCAAAGGGCTTCTCCCCCGGGTGCACGTGCCGGTGCTTGTGGAGCGCGGACTTGGCGTAGAAGCCCTTGCCGCACTCGCCACACGCGTAGGGCTTCTCGCCCGTGTGCAGCCGCCGGTGCACCTGCAGCACCGAGCTGTAGCTAAAGCCCTTCCCGCACTCGCCGCACTTGTAGGGTTTCTCCCCGGTGTGGACCCGCTGGTGGACGAGCAGGTTTGAGCTTCGACCGAAGGCCTTCCCGCACTCCTCACACGCGTAGGGCTTCTTTCCCGTGTGCACGCCCTGGTGGATGAGCAGAATCGACTGATACCGGAAGCCCTTCCCGCACACGTCGCATCGGTAGGGCATCTCCCCGGCGGGGGCCCGGGGCCGGCTGGGACCGCGCGCGTTCTGCCGGAGGCCCCGGGCGCGCTCCTTACCCTTGGAGGGTTTCTCGTCCGTGGGGGTCCTCTGGGGCCTCTCGAGGTGGGCGGTCTGCCTCAAGCCCGTACCACCCTCGGGATATCTACGGACTTTCTCTTTCCAGGGAGCTCTGGGCTGGGCGGGAAGGTGCAAGGCGCCCCTGAGGCCATCTCCGCGTTCGCTGCTTCTCAGGTCATCCTCTTCCGGGGCAGGGTGACGGAGGGTTGACTTTTTCAGGCTGTCTCTTCCACAGCGCTCGCGATCACACGGTCTCTCTCTTTCTGGTAACCTGTGGTCATCGTGACAACGTGATACCCAGCAGAAGCCGAAACCGTCCCACTCAGGTTTATACGTTGTACCCTGCGTGTCAAGTTTTTTACACCTTTCCAGAACATTCCACGACTCGTTCACAAAGGCTTTCATCCAAGATTCTTGAACGGATACCGGTCTTAGAGCTTTCCAGGGTGGAAACGCTTGATTTTCCGAACTGATGGGTCCTTGAAGACCGCCGGCCAGATTGTCAATTTGCGAACCCCGAGGAGATGCTCCTTCCCAGCCCTGGCAGGGAGAAGCGTCTTCCGAGAACTGGAAATCCTTCCCTTGAAGATTCACTCTACGGTCTTGACTCCCAGTTAATTCACCAGCCGCCTGTTCCCCGATTTTCCAGTAGGACAGCTCTCTGTAGGAAAGGCACTTAAGTTCCCTTTCTTGAATATACTCCAGATCCTTTTCATTCTTGTCTCCTGTGGGGTGAAAGACAGTTCAGAGATGAGAACAAGTACAAGAATGGCTCAGGGATCTCAAGCCAAGTCAGGCTTTCAGGCCCGGACCAGTAATGACCTGGAGCAAAATCCACCTGTGTGTATCATAACTACCAAGGCACTTCTTTTGTATCTGGGAAAAAAAAAAAAAAAAAGAAGAGGTTCCTATTAATAAGCTTCGTAGCCAGACATTAAATGACCCTACTAGCAATGAACTGCATCTCATCTAGTTGCCCAAGCGAGAAAGAAATTCCAAACAGATTCCTACAGAGGAGATTCACTTCTCCGCTTAATGTTGTCATTCATAACAATAATATCCAACATTATTATGATGCTTCCTACGGTGCTGACGATATACACCGATTAACTCACTAAACCCTCAGAATAACACTGAGGTGGGAACCCTTATCATTTTTGTTTAACGGATGAGGGATCCAGGGCACAGAGAGGGTGAGTGACCCAGTGAAGTCACTCCACCATGCGGTGCCGAAGGAGTGGGCAAGGAGTCAAACAGGGAAGTCCGGTTTCAGAGCCATACTGAGCACTGCCTCCCAGAGTGAATCTGTGAGCACGTGTGAGCTGAACTCAGGGGAGAAACAAAGCACCAAATCCTCCAAAGTGCACCAGCTGTGTCCCGGCTTCCAGAAGCATATCGAATAGGAATCCACATGATACTGACAGGGCACAGAGGCATAAACATGTTCAGCTTCTCTCTGTCACCAACTGCAAGCCATCAAACCATCACGTTTACCACGTAGTTCAAGGTTAAAGAAATCTGCCCATGCTTTTTGATATTCCTTACTGGCGATTCTTATCATCATGGGCCAGAATAACACAAATCTGTTCATACCCGAGGACTTGTAGGATATTGGAGACAAATGAGAAATCCATCGGTGGACTCTCAATATGCTGGAAGAGTCTCTCTGCCACTGGCTTATCTTAATGCTGACCGGCTGTTTCTAGCAAAGGGAGGAAAGTCCAGGGACCCCTCAGTCACTCTGGATATGTTACTCTCTGAAAAGCATGAAGAATCCATGTGAAGGTGGGGACTGAGGAGCGGAAATGAGGTCGGAGAACAATCACCTACCATAGTACAAGTGTCCACAGGCAAGATCAAGGTCAGAAGGGGCCTCTGCATGACAAGTTCACCCCACCCCTGCCTGCGTCAGACCCCAGGCTGCATGGTTCTTGCCCGGGCGTGCATCTCTCGGGAGTTTCTCTGTTACCCAAGTCTCCAAGTCTCTCTACCTTGTTCCATGGAGGTGCCTTATCAGGTTTGAAAGGTTGTTGCCCTGAAAATCCAAGGCTTAGGCTCATTTGTGAGGTGCAAAAAATGATCAAAAAAATGTAGTCCTGATCTTTCAAGTTCCCCGGGAACAAGAACATTCCAATCAAGGTAAGTGTGGATTACCCAGACATTCCCCTTACCCAGAGAGAGCAGGTTCTGGAAGTTCTCCAGCATCACATCTCGGTACAGCTTCCTCTGGGTGGGGTCTAGAAGCCTCAGCTCCTCCTCAGTGAAGACCACAGCCACGTCCTTGAAGGTCAATGGCTCCTAAAATGTGAGACACCATTAACACAAACACGTACCAGATGAAAGGCAAACTTGGCGTCACTAAGAAGGGTAGACAAGCATGCAGGCAGTTGCTCGGTCTGACGAGTCAAATCAAGTTTTGTTAATGTCTGATGCCAACAATGTCAGTTCTTACCAACTGATCTTCCGTGGTTATCCACAGAGCAAAGCAACAAACATTCTTCGCTCAGTGTGAGCACTTCAGAGGGCAATTCCATGGAGCTACAATGCTTCCATCATGTGGTCTGTCCATTTCACAATTTTTTTATAAGTTTTAAAAAAAAATTTTTTTTAACATTTATTTCTGAGAGAGAGAGAGAGAGAGAGAGAAAGACAGAGCACAAGTAGAGGAAGGGCAGAAAGACAGGGAGACACAGACTCTGAAGCAGACTCGAGGCTCTAAGCTGTCAGCACAGAGCCCAACGTGGGGCTCGAACCCGCAAACTGCAAGATCATGACCTGAGCCGAAGTTGGGACGCCCAACCGACTGAACCACCCAGGTGCCCCTCAAGTTTTTTTTTTTTTTAATGTATTTATTCATTTTGAGAGAGACGGAGACAACACAAGTGGGGGAGGGGCAGAGAGCGAGGGAGAGAGAGAATCCCAAGGAAACAGAAGATGCTGGCTGAGAGCCTAATGAGGGGCTTGAACTCATGAAACCGTGAGACCCTGACCAGAGCCGAAACCAAGAGCTGGATGCTTAACTGACTGAGCCACCCAGGGGTGCCTTGACTCTCACTTACAGAATACCAACTTTTTCCCTCCACGACTGTTTCAACAGTGCCTGATGTTAAGAGTGCCCACATCTGGGCACACACGATCACTCCTCGTCTCTTCTCACCAACCAGCCTCAGCCTCCATCATCAGCAGTGGGGCAAATCCTGCTCTTTGCTGCCCCTGCCCCCCAACCCCTCCACACACACACACACACCTTTACCAGGTTTCCCTACCGCCACCTGTCAAAGAAGCAACTAACGGTGCTTGCGCATCATGTCCCCAGCCAGGAGGAGGCTCCTTAGCAGCTGTGGAGCTCACATCATGCCAGCCCTCAGTTGTGAACTGTGGCCCACGGCCTTCAAGCAAATTGCTCATAAATTTCACTGAGGAAGACAGCTGCAGTTGTAAACACAGTGAAAACACAGTGAACACATGACAACTGTATCGCGATACTCGCCGCCCTTCTCGGTGAGGGAGACAATTATGTGATGAGGGACTTCAGAATTCCACTTTGCCTGCAGCCTGTCCCAGAATACTCCAACAAGGTCTTTAATGGCACAACTTGAGCTGTGATTCTATAATTTAAAAAAAGAAATATTTTTTATTATTTTTGAGAGAGAGACAGACAGACTGAGTGCAAGTGGGGGAGAGCAGAGAGAGAGGGAGACACAGAACTGAGTAGGCTCCGAGCTTCTGAGCTGTCACACAGAGCCCAATGGGCTTGAACTCACGAACTATGAGATCATGACCTGAGCCAAAGTCAGAGGCTTAATTGACTGAGCCAGGCACCCAGGTGCCCATATACATATTTAAAAAAAAAAAAAAAATTATGGGTTCATTTTTTTTTAAGAAGGAAGGCAAAGTAGCTTTAGTAGTAAGTTTCCTTTTTTTTTTTTCAGTTTATTTATTTATTTATTTTTGAGAAAAAGAGATAGAGAGAGAACAGGGGAAGGGCAGAGGAAAAGGTATGTAAAGGAGAGAGAATCCCAAGCAGGTCTCCCATGTTGCGCAGTAGTGGAGCCCTCGATGGGGCTCAACCCACTTAAAACCATGACATCATGACCTGAGCTGAAGTCAGACACTTAAGTGAGCCATCCAGGTGCCCCCATAGTAAGGTTTAATGCATGCATGTCTATATATGACTCATTGCATAAATGTTCAGTACCTATAAAACAGTATTAGACACAGGAATTCCAGAGATAAGGAAGAAAATAACAGCCCTGCCTCTGTGGGGCTTGTGCCCACAGTCCCCGAGATCCCTTCCAAGTTCTATGATTCGCTAGAAGGACTCACAGGACTCAGTACATAGTCATACTCACAGCTTGCACTTAATATGGTTAAAAAACAAAGCAAAATCATGGGGCACGTGGGTGGCTCAGCGGGCTAAGCATCCGACTCGGCTCAGGTCACGATCTCACAGTCTGTGGGTTCGAGCCCCATGCGGGGCTCTGTGCTGACGGCTCAGAGCCCGGAGCTGGCATCAGATTCTTGTCTTCTTCTCTCTTTGCCCCTCCCCCACTTGTTCATTTTCTCTCTCTCTCTCAAAAATAAGTAAATAAATCACTTTAAAAAAAATCAGCTGAGGGAAAGAGCATGTGGAGTGAAGTCTGGAGGAAGCAGGGTGCAACCGGGTGTGTTCTGTGACAAATCTCAGCCACGCATAGAACTACACACTGGACCCCATGGGTCCTGGCAGATCTCTGAACATGGGCGTGGTCTCGGGGAGCCCTGAACCAGGAGGTGAAGGAACTTGGCCATGGTTACACAGCTAGTAAGAGACAGGGTTTGAGTTCAAACTACAACATGAGCACACAGAGTCTAGTTCCAGAGCCACTGTACTTTAACAACTGTCCTATACGGGCCAACCTGTGTGTTACCAGGGGGCCAGAAATGCGTGTATAAAGCAGATAATTTGCAGAAAAATCACTGTAAGGCAGGCTCTAGCCTACGTATCTTTACGTGGTTTATCTAATTTAACCCGGATATTATGGTATTTGCAGAATACCATATTTTTGCAGAAAAATCACTGTAAGGCAGGCTGATATTTGCAGAAAGTATTTGCAGAAAAATCTGATATTTGCAGAAAAATCACTGTAAGGCAGGCTCTAGCCTACGTATCTTTACATGGTTTATCTCACTGAACCCTCACAAAACTCACAGAAAGCGAGAACTTTCTGGAGCACCAGGAATGCTCTCTTGTCTGCTCTCTTACCGGTAACTGCTCACAAGGTAGTTACTGTTGCTATCTCCATTTCACCGACGAGAAAACGGGTCTCAGAAAGCGAATGCTACGTGTCGAACAACATACGCTTCGGAAGCCTGAGTCGGGACTGGACCCGGGCAGCCCGAGTAACGACGCTGAAACCACCCAGCCCTACCGCCGCCCAAATGAGATTGGAGGCGCCAGACCAGAGGAACCCACCTCCCCACTCGGGAGGGAGAGCGCCACCAACACAGCACATTTCCGAGCAGAATCCCAGATCGATCCCAAGACCAGAGGCAGCGTCACAGGGGAGAAACGTCGGGCCAGAGGCAGCCGATGTGACAATTACACAGTTGTGGCCCTGCCGCTAACTCCCGAATCTTTACAACCAGTCCTGCCTTCTGCACTGAGCCCTGCCTACTCCGCCTGCCGCCTGGATGCCTAAAAGGTATCGCGAAGCAAAAACAGCCCAACTGGAAGGGAGTCTTTCCTCCCAAATAGTTCCCTTCTCGTCTCTCTGACGTGGGCAAATGCAAGTACCATCTGCCTTAAAGGCATCGCCTGGATTCTTTCCTTTTCTTCATTTCTTACATCTGATTCATTAAAAAAAAATGAATGATTCATTCATTCATTCAAAAAAAAAATTCATGGGGCGCCTGGGTGGCTCAGTCAGTTAAGTGTCTGACTCTTGATTTCAGCTCAGGTCACAATAGCACGGTTCGTGAGTTCGAGCCCCGCGTCAGCCTCTGTGCTGGCGACACGAAGCCTGCTTGGGATTCTCTCTCTCTCCTCTCTTTCTCTCTCAAAATAAATAAAGATAAACTTAAAAAAAATTCTGCCACTTATTATTCCAAAGTATACTTCAAGCTTCTCCCTGTAACTACTTCTACCTCTCTAATGTGACTCGTCATCGTCCTCCGCTTGGATGATCGCACAGACCTCCTCCCAGTTCATCCTGCCTACGTCCCTCAAGATACTTCAGAGCCCTCATCTTGTGTTTAACCCGTTACTACCGGTCTCCCCCTTCTAGAAGGCCAGCCCCATGAAGGCAGGGGTGTTATCTGTTTTGCTCTCTGATGTATCACCAGGGCTTAGAATAATGTTTGGCCCATAGTAGGTGTGCAACAAACGTTTGCTGAATGAAGAGAGAAAGACTAACTCTTGAACCTCAGAGGTACATGCTCAATATAAATAGTAAAACAACACAGAGACATACAACTCAGTAGAGCGGAGTACAGTATACAGGAATGGTCACGTCCTATGAAAGCTAAGCCAACTGTCATTTTTCTTTCTCTTTCTCCGCATATATAACGCACACACCTATTTTTTTTTTAACTTTTTTACTGTTTGTTTATTTTGAGAGAGAGAGAAAGCACACGAGCAGGGGAGAAAGAGAGAACACACAAGCAGGCAGAGAGAAAGGGAGAGAGAAAGAATCTGACGCAGGGCAGAGCCTGACATGGGGTTCAAACTCACAAACTGTGAGATAATGACCTCAACGGAAATCAAGAGTCAGACGCTTAACCAACTGAGCCACCCAGGCACCCCCATATACACCTATTAAATATATACATGTTTATATACATATATGTATACATAAACATATACAAAAATATATAAATGATAAAGTCAGCATTTCAGTTGACCTACAGATGAATGATTAATAAATGGCACTGTCCTGACTGGCTATCCATCTTGAAGAAAATGACATTAAATGTCAACCTTAGGCCACTTACAAAAACCAGTTATAATCATTTTAGAGATTAAAACGTTTTTAATCTAAATAAAAACCCGTTTAGGTGCCTTTTTTTTTTAATTAAAAAAATTGTTTTTTTAACGTTTAATTTTGAGAGACAGAGACAGCGTGTGAGCTGGGGAGGCGGCAGAGAGAGGGAGACACAGAATCTAAAGCAGGCTCCAGGCTCCGAGCTGCCAGCACAGAGCCTGACATGGGGCTCGAACCTACAAGCCACAAGATCATGACCTTAGCTGAAGTCAGACGCTTAACCGACTGAGCCACCCAGACGCCCCCATTTAGGTGCCTTTCTGATTAAGCTTAGAATGGGTAAGGCCTTTTGCAGCTAGGTATGGAGCCGTATTTTCAAAAGGGAACTAACAAATCATTTAACTGTGTACAAATTTTACACTTCTTTATGGTCAACTCACCATTCAGAAAGTAAAAATTGAGAGAAAGTAACTTTAACACTTTTGATGGGCAAGCCTACCCTTGAAAGAGCTCCTGTCATTAATGAAAAATGGACAAAAGCATTTCATAAGCAATTTACAGGTGACAAAATACAGCAGCAAATATATATATGAAAGATGCTTATCATGCACCTACTGTGTGAGGAACTACAAAATACATAGGTCTTGGCCACATACCCTCCTCCATCAGATTAGCAAAAATGTTTAGTACTGATATATAGCCTGGGGGGGAAAACTTGCCAAAAAGAAAATTAATCAGAATTTTTAGAAGCGTGACCAAAAAAACCCACTCCTACGATTAGGGGAAAATAACACCTCAAGAGACGAGCCAACCAGCAGAATGAACATCACTGAAGCACAAGCCGGTGAACTGGAAAACAGAGCAGCCTCCTGGAAGGTGACAGAAAATTCCGAAGAAGAGAAGTTTAAGAACAGGGAAGATAGATCTGGAAGTTACACCTTCAGTAATGGGAGTTCCGGCAGGACCACATGCATAAAATGACAGTAACGGCAGACAGACATCCAGGCAGAGAGAGAATTAACACCAGAAGATCGCAGAGCAAAGGCAATAAACGTGTGATCCTTGAAAATGACGCTCGGCCAAGATGCCATGTATAAACACAACAGACCTTTCTGAGAAAAAGCGCTCAACTAACCAATAAATAAGCATAAGCTTTGCTCACCAGAAGGTGAACGGAGAAGGGAGAGAAAGACCAGCATGAGACTTAACGCCAGTTCTGAAAGTATGAATGAAGACTCTTCAGCTTCGCCAACGTGCCATCCGCAAATTCCGTTCGCCTAAAGGCACAGACATTGTTCAGCACAGAAACGGTCAGCGGAGACAGCATCCGCAAGTCTTCTTTGGGAAAAGCAAATCGTGGAATGACGCTGAGCCAGCCAACAGGCAAGTCAGTGACGCCAGGACTACAGAAACCAGAGACAGGTGGCGGACAATGACCGCTACGGAGGAACTGACACAAGCTCACTGTGGGAATCGGTGGTGACAACCGTCAGAGGTGATACGGTAACGACAGGATCATACCAGGAGCTGGTGGGAAGTAGAACCGTGTTAATTTCTTCAGCCCTCGTGGCGGCAAGTTCCCCAATAACATTTACAATTAAAGCGTACAGTAAGGAAGTAACTCAAACCTTCCGAATTTTTCCATAACGTCTTTTCGTAAAAAAAGGAAGCTTTGTAAAATAATTTTGCACGCGCCGAAAAGAGCACGTACTTAAAATTTTGCAAACTTTGATTTTTCTTGCAACCTAAAGGAAAAATGAGTTAACACATATGCACAGATCTACGGTGTGTGTGTATGTGAGAGAGAGAGAGCGAGCGCGTCTTTTCATGTCCTGATATTCTCATCCGCTTGTGACCACATTTGACAGTGGCACAGGACCTGGACGTGAGAAGAAACAAAATGATAACAGTCCATCAATCCAACATCAATCCAATGGACGGACATGGAGTCCACCCCACGGTTTTTTCTCTTTTTTTGCTGTTACGAACAACGTTGTAATGATCAGTCTTTGAATACTCGCTCTGATTTGGAATGAATTCTTAAGAGTAGGAAATATTGGAGCAGACGTGTGCAGAACTTCCAAGAAGACTAAAAATGCCCCTTTCAATGGTGTGAATGCACCATCTCTCCATCTGGCTAACAGTGAGAGCTGACCTTTCAAATCTTTGATCTGCTAGAAAAGAAAAAAAAATCAGTATCTCATTTCAATCTGTATCACTTTATTTTTTTTGTTAATGTTTTGATTTATTTTTGAGAGACAGAGCATGAGTGGGGGAGGGGCAGAGAGAGAGAGAGAGAGAATTTGAAGCAGGCTCCAGGTTTTGAGCCGTCAGCACAGAGTCGGATGTGGGGCTCGAACTCATGAACCGCGAGATCATGACCTGAGCCAAAGTCAGACACTCAACTGACTAAGCCACCCAGGCACCCCTGTATTACTTTAATAGAAGCTGATCGGACTTTTCATATAATTGTTGGCCATTTGTACTTCTGTTTTTCTCCCTTCCTGAACAAGAATGCTTGGGTCTTTGAACCCTCTGTCAAAAATAAAGACATTAGAATTTCTAATTTTGTCGTAGACGAAATGTTTTTTCCCCTAATATGCTCTTTTAGCCTTGTTCATGGGGTACTTTTTGTAGGGTGTATTCACCTGGACAAAAGGACACCTGGAAAGGAATCAGAGAAATGTCCCACGGAGGAGATAAACTCGGGCAGAGAAGGATTCATTTGTAATTATTCACCCAATACACTGTTTCCTTGACTCCCTTTTACCAAGGGAGGGAGATATTTTTACACTCCGATGCCTGACGTGTGATTTCTGGAAAGAAAAGCGATCTCAACCCACCTGAAACTGTCCTGTCCTCCCCATCCTGGGAAAGAGCTGAGGCTTGAGAACGGAGAGCTGCGGGAGGAGAAGGAAGGCTATGAGAAGATGTGGCTCCTGCCTGTGTTTGCAGACTCTCCACCTGGACCTCAGCAACGTCTGCTGCGTCACGAACTGCTTTCTTCTCTCTCCACACCCGGCTCGATTCTCCCCCACTGCACCCCCTTCATGAACTCTCAACCTCTCTCCCTAGGCCTTGAGGTCAAAGTCTCCATGGTTACCTCTCCCAGGTTTTCCCAGAGCAGCAGCAATTTTATGTATCCTCTGATCTTCCTAAGCCAGAGAAGCAGAAGATCTGGGCCTTCTTCATTCTTGAGGTTCTCCAAGCTCTGACAAGGAATGTCAGATGGCTACCTGGGCTCAGAAGGACCTGCCTTCCCCTGCATGCTCCCCAGCCTGGGTGGTTCCCGCACTCCGGGGACCTGTGGGCTCAAGAGGGAACTTGACTTTATGGAGTCCTTTCTTCTGGGCCCCAAAGCTCTGGGTCTCCAGAACGGTTCACACCCTGTAGCCATCATTCATTCAGCGGACACTGACTGAGTCGCTGTATGCATAGTCCCTGCTCTGGAGAGACTCACCGTTCACAGAGCCAAGGATGCTGCAGGTGGCTGGGGACAATCTGAGAGGTTTCTGTGGGGAGGGCTGAGCAGAAGTGTCACAGGGAGACACAGGGCCCTACAGAAGGGTGCAAACGCCACAAACACAGGACACCTGTGTTCTGTGAAAGACAATCTGGAGTGTGAAAGCTTTACTAATGCAACACTGTAGGCCTCACAGAAGAAATGATGAAAAATCCCTGTCGTCAGGGCGCCTGGCTGGCTCAGTCGAAGAGCATGAGACTCTCGATCTCAGGGTTGTGAGTTTGAGCCCCACACTAGGTGGAGAGATTACAAAAGAAAGAAAGAAAGAAAAGAAAAAAGAAAAAGAAGAAAAAATCCCTGTCCTCGAGGGTTCTATCAATCAAGATACAGGTTAGCAAAGATCTTCTAAATCAGAGTTTGTAACCTTTTCTGTTCAATGGCCTCCTTTGTCAGTCTGGTGATACTTATGGGCTCTTACTCAGAATGATGTTGTGAAAGCATAAAATAAAACACACAGGGTTACTTTAAAGGCTAATTATACCGGAATACAATGTTCAAAAATAATAAAACACCAAGGATGTGCTTCTTTTTACACATTAAATATCAAGAATGAATCAACTGCTGGAATTTCCAAAAAGTAATGAGCATAAGTAATATTCTGAAACATCTACACCAACTACAATATAAAAACGTCTGTGATTTACCTGAATAACAGAGTCACGGGTTCTGATAATACTACTGTGGTCTGTCACCTGCATTCATAATCAAAGGAAATACTAACTTCCAGTATGACTGGTGCACATTTTTTTTTTCCCCACTCGGGTTCATGATCACCCTGCATTATGCCCACGGACTTGTGTTCAAGAACCCCTTCCGTAAGGGAGTCCTTCTGCCACCACCAGATTGAATTAGTCACCCCGGGACCCCAGAACCGTTTTGTAGAAACTGCTGGCTTGCCGCCTTTCCACCTTTCACACAGCTGCCCTGTTAAGACCTCTAAGTCATCAAGAGAACGGGGTCCTCTACCTTCATTCGTGGTCTCCATTTTGCACGGGGTTGGCACACTGGACACGCTTAGCAAATTTCATCAGTGGGGTGTGGAGCACAGAGATGAACAGAACTCTCGGCACGGGCCCGGAGCTAGCCCAGTAGGCAGCAGAAACACACTGACCATAAGCTCCTTCCTTTTGCCTCTTTGCCTGATCTCCTTTCTCCTGAGACTCGAGCCACAGGGCAGGTTCATAGGAACGTACGCACCCTTAGGGTGCCTGCTCTAAGATACTCCCTGTAGTGTACTGAGTCAGGAGCTCATGTCTCCACCTTGAGCTAGCCATCGGTCCCAGGCCATCGGTCCCAGGCCATCGGTCCCAGGCCTCTGCACAGCCCGCTCTGGCAAGCGCCTCCCTGTCTCCCACAGTTTGTGCACTGCCCTGCCCCAGGGATTGTCCTCTAAAGCGAGTGGGTGGCTCGGTCAGTTAAGCGTCAGACTTCAGCTCAGGTCATGATCTCATGGTTCGTGGGTTAGGTCAGCGTGGGAATAGTAGCATTGGCTGGGGAGCTTGAGAACCTCTTCAGTTCTGTGTCCCTCTCTCTCCTGCCTCACACTCACTCCTTACTCTGTCTCTCTCGCTCCCCAAAACAATAAAATACCAATACAAATACAAATAAAGTTAGGTCACTCCTCCGGCCAAGAACTTCACCTCACTCAAAACCTCCGCCAAAGGCCTTTCAAAAGGCTTAAAGACCCTACGCTATCTGACCTCCCACCGATCCTTCCTCTTTCTCACTCTGCTCACCCTCTCTGGCCTCCACACTTCTTCAAATGGACCCTGCCTTCAATGCTGTTCCCTTTCCCCAGCGTCCACAGGCCTCTCTCTTCCTTTGGATCCCTACTCACCTGCTCACCACCTTGTCAGTGAAATCATCCCTGGTTATCCCACACAATTGCAAGTCCCTCTGCCAGTCCTCCCAAAGCATCTTCCCTGCTTCATTGTCCTCTGTGAAGCTTAGCTAACCTACCATTTTTCTTGTTTACTATCTTCCTGTACCCATGAGAGTATGAACTCTGTGAGGGCTGGGGTTTTAGTCAGCTCCAAGCAACAGGGTGAGCACTCAACACATATTTAAATGGGAGAATGGGGGGTGGGGGGAGCCTAGGTGGCTCAGCCGGTTAAGCGTCAGATGTCAGCTCAGGTCATGATATCACAGTTTGAGTTCGAGCCCCGTGTTGGGCTCTGTGCTGACAGCTCAGAGCCTGGAGCCTGCTTCTGATTCTGTATCTCCCTCTCTCTCTCTGCCCCTCCCCTGCTCACGCTCTGTCTCTCTCTCTCAAAAATAAACAAACATTAAAAAAAATTTTTTTTTAATGAAATCAATGGGAGAATGGGACTAATGCGAACTCAACCTGCTGATACTTGGATCCTGGGTCTTTTGAGACCAGCTACAGAGCGGAATGGTTTTGTTCTGCAGTTTGTTCGCTTAATCAATTACATGCAAAGGACCATGCAGGGCATGCTGGGACACGATGGTGATCAGGGCAGGCAAGGACTCTGCGCGCGAACAGCTAACATTCTAGCCGGGAAGACAGCACGCATTCACTGAAGTTCTACTTTTATGTCAGGTGCTTAGGTTTAAGGAAAGATACACTCCTTTACCATATGGAGCTCACACTGGACAAAGAGAACGACCAATACAACTGGCGCCAAAGGCACTGGGATAAAGGGGTAATGGGACTAAGGGATGCTGCAAAGGTAGAAATGACAGGACTAGACGAATAATTACACGTGAGGGTGAAAAGGAGAAGTCAAATATGAGTCTGGAGTTGAAGTTTAAAGAAAACAGGTAAATTATGGCGTTTTAATCCAGCCAGCAAGACGAGAGGCAGGGGTGGGAAGTTGCTGGTCTTGACTCTTAACACCGAGGTTGTCACACGGCCTGAGTCTAAGTTCTGGCTCAGCCACTCTGTAGCTGCGTTAACACCAGAAGAGAGAGAAATCTCTGAATGAGCCTGTTCTTTCTGCTGTTAAGTGAAGACAGTACTTCTCACTCACAGAGTTGACAGAATTAAGTCTCTCTCTGTGACACACGTACACGGGCATACCTATTTGAATGAAGGTCAGAGTCTAGTACGTGGTACACGGAAAATCCTCAGCCAACTACTGTCACTGCTGTCATTCGCTCACCCCACCACCAACCCGGGAATACAGGCACCCATTCGTTTAACAAAGACACGATCAGTGTCCCACTCTGTCTCCGACGCTGTAACAAACCCTGGGGACACAGGACCAAGTAAGATGGGCAAGGTGCTCGTTCTTACGGTGCTTGCGTTCTGGCGGGTCAACAGGTCTTACAGATAAGGTGATCTCTGATTACAAAAGGGGCAAGGACGAAAATAAGTTGAACGTGATAGATTCTCGTTCTGGGTCAGAACACAGGGGGCAGGTGTGGGAGACGCAACATGAATCAGGTTGTCGCGGACAGTCTCCAAGACCTGCGTGAAAATAAATCAGCCACGCAAAGATCTGGGATGGGGAGAGAACGGAGGGGCACGCAAGGGCAAAGGCCCTGACTTCTGGTTGTAACACCTCAGCATTCTTATCTGTGACACGGGACTAATGATGACTTACTGAGAAAATTAACTATCAATTCTTACTGACAGGCTAGTACACGCCAGGCACTGTCCCAGGTATCAGGGATACTCAACAAAAGCTGTCCGCATCACTGGCATGTAATAAGCACTTAATAAATGCAAACCATCACAGTCACTGTAATTATTTCTTCCCTGTAGCTAGCACAGCCCTGAAGCAGTGTAAGCCTAAGTGATTTACTGGCTACACGAACCAATACTACAGGCCAGGGAGAGAATACGCTAAATAGAGTCGCTGGGAAATTCCCCCACCCTTAGGAAAAAAACATCTCTGGGGGAAAGCAGCCACGGCTGAGGGGCCAGAATGGGCATTTGTCAACACCGTGGTATGACGAGTAAGGAAGATCAGGAAAGCAGGCCTTTGGGAAGGGAGCTGGCATTGCCATAAAACAACAAGAAACCAAACTTTTATTCACCTGGAGCTCTGACGTCAAGAGACCAGGGGTTACTCCTTTCTCTTCTATGCAGTTCTCTCTGAGAAAGGCACAGTCCCAAGAAGGCAAGGCCATGAAATAAAAACGAGCCAGGAGATAACATGATTTTATCACAATTCCCAGCTACACAAGGAGAAAGTTCTGAGCACCAGCTGAATGTAATCTAGCCTTCCCGGAATCTACTCCTACCCCCAGGAAAGAGACCTCCTCCCTCCTCAGAAGGTCCACACCATTCTTACTGTGGGCCTTATCTACAAGCCTGCATTCACTGTAGCTCCTAGGAGACCATCAGATGGCCAACAGATACCTGAAACGATGCTCAACATCACAAAACATCAGGAAAATGCACATCAAAATGGAGAGACCACCTTACCCTTGTCAGAAGGGCTAGAATCAAAAAGACAAGCAATAACAAGTGTTGGTGAAGATGTGAAGAAAAAGGAACCTTGGGACACTGTTGGTGGGAATGCAAACTGGTTCAGCCACTGCGAAAACAGCATGGAGGTTCCTCAAAAAATTAAAATTAGAAATGCCATATGATCCAGTAATTATCC